ATTTTGCATAGAGACATGCACACAAGTCTTTCGGGGGCCAGGGGTGGAATGTTACGGTTTAGATCTAGACGTCCCCCCTCCAAGCCTTTGGAGGGTGGCTGAGTTGTGGCGTGCCATGCTTATCCACAGGTGCCTCCTCTGGTGAGCTCAGCGGCTGAGCATGCAGTTGGGAGGTGGGGCTTGTCAGAAGAGGGGTCACTGGGTGGAGGACAGAGAAAGGTGACCCCCTCCCTGGCTCCTCCCTCTCTGCTCCTGGCCGCCCCATGATATGAGCAGCCCTCCTCCACCCAGGCCCTTCCACCATGCTGGCTCTGCATGGAAGGCTGCCGACCATGGGGTATAACTTCTGTAACCATGAACCCAAATAAATGCCTCCTCCCTTAAGTTGTGAGCGTCGGGTATTGCATCTCACAGTGATAGGGAAAGTGAGTAAGACAGAGTCCCGCGATTTTGTGAGGGTGAGCTTCTATGCAGCCTTCACAAGTGTCCCCTGGAGGACATGTTCATCCTCACCTCTCAGGCGGGGAAACCAAGACTCAGAGATGCTGATGTTCCTGAGGTCTCACAAGTGCAGCAAAGCAGCTGGCACGAGTCCTCCCTGGTGGTGTTACCTGTCTATAACCCTGGCTTTGAAAACAAGGAAGCTGAGGCACAGAGGGGTGGGGGGACCTGCCCAGGACTGGAACCTAGGCTCTTGCTGCAGAACTCAGCAAGCTGTGAGCCTCAAGGAGGAGGGAGAAAAGAGAAGGAAGGAAGGAAAGGATCAGGGGAGGGGGAGGGAAGGAGGAGGGAACACAGACGGTAGTGATGGAGGAAAGGATAGGTGATAGGTGGTTAACAGGGAGAATAGTGATGTACGTGGAGAGAGGACGGACAGGTGCCAGCATGGGCAGTGGGAGCTGCCGGACAGAGGGAGGAGGAACCTCTGTGAGTTGAGGCAAGTCCCCCCTTGGGACCAGGTCCTGGGGAGGGCACAGACCTTGTGCAGGCCACGGCAGTGCAGCAGTGCCACCAGCTGGTGGAAGTTTCCCTCTGTCACATTCAGTGTCTCCTCCAGGGACAGCAGAGGCTTCTGCGGTGGGAGGGGAGGCAGCTACTCCACCAACTCTCTAGGCCAGCCCATCCGCCCAGCTCCGCCCACTCTGACCGCCCCGCCCACAGTTTGGGGCCTCTCGCGGAAGAGGACCGGCCGGCTCCTCTGGCTTCTGCCCCGTCCAGCCAGCCTATACCTTTGCGTGGGTGATACCCACCCCTGTGGCCCAGTCCACTGACCTGCGCAGATGGGAACTGGGGGACAGCTTCTCGCTCCAGGCCCTGCAGCTGGGAGTGGATGTTGGCCAGAGCTCGCTGGGACAGCGTCAGCCTCTGTGAGAAGGAGGAGGGCGGACCCATGGCCAATGCCCTGGCCTTCTCCCCACAGGGGGACCCCGGATGCTGGGCCGGGCCTTGCCCTCCCGTGGGGGTGCCCGTTTGCTGTCCCCTCAGTGCCAGTTCCCCTGCCCGCAGCCCTCACCTGCTGGAAGGGGTTGGAGATGGCCTGGCTGCACAGGAAATAATAGTTCAGGATGTCTGAAGCGGAGGGGGAATGGGGGCTGTGAGCCTGGGCCCCAGACCTTGCCTGGGGGCGGTGGGAGGGCAGGGCGCAGGGACACCTCCTAGCCCAGCTCTCGGGGTTTTCCCAGGGTCTCTGCCCCCGCAAGGCGGGTGGCAGACTAAGCTGCGTGCATGTGCGCTCCACCTCCTCCCGCGGCCTCTGCCTCCTGACTCCTCTCCCCTCCGGACACCAGCATTTGCACCCGGCCCTCTTTTCCAGCAAGCCGGGGCAGGCACCGAGCATTCCGGACGACCAGTACCCCTCCCTCACCCACCCAGGAGGACAGGGCCGGGGGAGCCTGGGAAGGTGGGGACGAAGGCAGTCACCTGAGCTGAGCCCTGTCTCCTCTTGGGTCAGGTTCAAGATGTAAGTGTCTGGGTTGGAGCAGAAGTCGCTGAGACCCTGCGTGAGAGAGCAGGACGGGTGCCATCGCCACATCCCCAACATCCACTCCTGGTCCCCGGCCCTCCCCCTCAGCCCTGGGGTCCAGGCCCGGCCTCCCCCCTCACACTTAGAGGGTCAGGCCCAGCCCTTCCTCGCCCAGAACCCGGATGTCCAGGCCTCTGGCCTCTGTCCTCCCACAACCCAGGAAACAAGCCCCCACCTTGAACTGTGACTGTGTGCCGCAGCCCCTCCCAGCCCGCCTAGGCTCCAAGAGTCAGGGCCCCGGAACTCACCACGGCTGTGGCTGCCTCTAGGCCCATGGATCCCCAGCTGAGGACAAGCACCAGAAGACTCATCGCTGTCATCCTGGAGGGCGGCGTGGGATTGGCCTGGGTCCCCATCTGCCCACATTTCCCCTTCACTTGCCACCCCCTCGGCCCTCACAGCCCACCCCTACCCCACCACCTCCGGAGTCTGGAGAATCCAGGAAAGGCAGAGAGTGAGATGGGACAGGTGGACCCACAGTTGCAGACCGGGATAGGGGGGCTGCCCCTCTTGAGAGGCCCTGGGAGCCACTGCCCCTGCTGGTCTCAGTACTGCGGGCCCAGCAGTGCCTGGCCAGCTGCCCCTCAGCCCTGTCTGCTGCTGCAGGGTGTGGGGTCAGTTCCAGGGCTGCTCTGGCCTGGCTTCTCCCCAGGGTGGGTGGGGGCAAGCATGGGGGGGTGGTTGGCGAGCCAGAAGGGCACTGGGGTGCAAACCAAAGCCCCCCCCCCAGGTCAGGGGGGGTAGTGGGCTCTCCCAAAGGTAGGCTGGCTGGTGTGAGTCCCAACTGCAGCGCCCCCTAGATGTGTGGCCCCAACCGAATAAGTGACACAAGCTCTCTGACCTCCAGTGTCCTCTGTTCAACAAGGACAGAGGCACACGCCTTGGAGGCCAGGCCAGAGGGTTCCATGAAGTGCCGGAAAGAGTGGCATGGAGAGCGTACATTGAGCTCTTGCACCAGAGGGAGGGCCTGCGTGTCCCACACCACGAGGCAGCCTTGCTGCACGCTCTTCCACTCCTGGGTGGGAGCGTAATGGTGCCTCCATCACCGGGACCTGGGGTGCCCGGCCTGTACAAGTGTCAGTGGTCAGCCTTGTCTTTACTGCAAGTGTGACTGTGGGTTCTCGTGGTTCTGGGGTAGTCTGTGAGGCCATCCTGGGATGCATGGAGCCTCCTCTGTGTGCACCCAGCCGAGGAGACTAAGAAAGCTGTGCAGCTAAGCTCCTGCCACCAGGGATGCTAGGTCCCGCAAGCACCAGGGAAGCCTGGCCAGGGTCCCTCCCCGGGGAACAAGCCAGGGGCAGGCTGCCCGCACTCACACGACCACCAGCCACTTGCTCTGCTTCGCCAGGCCCAGGAGGGTGAAGAGGCAGACAAGGAGCTCTAGGAGTAGCAGGAGGACGTACGCCAGCCACCTGGGGGGAGGGTCAGGGCAGCAAAGCTCAGAGCAGGCCAGTGCACCCTCAGTGCACCCCAGCCCACCTCAACAAAGAACACCAACACCCTCAGGGTCACCCAAAGCTCAGCACAGCCTTGCAACCTCCATGCCCCCATTGTCTGTGACATGGGCACCCAGGAGCCAGGACACCAAGGCTGAGCACGTGGGACTGAACCCCGACTGGACCGCAAGCTCCGTGACAGTGGGCCTCTGACTTGGCCTCTTGGAGCCTAGATTCCCCACCCAGAGCTGCAGAGTGGAGATAGCTTGGCAGACACCAGGATCCCATCGAACAACCGTGGGGCTTGGCATCTAGAAGCAGCCAGCCCTCCACTTAACTAGCTCTATAGCTAGCCCAGAGCGTTAACCTCCTTGCCTCAGTTTCCCTACCTGTAATGCAAGGAGCACATTACTGCTGACTTTCAAAGGCTGTTGCCTGGTGAATGAGTTAATGCACATAAAGTTCTCAGCAGAGGGATGCTGTGGGCCGACTTACACGAAGGAAGCTTTAAATGGTGTGTAACAGTTAATTAGATATGACAGAATAATTCCCCGTGGTTACAGGGTAGGGTCCACAGTCAGCCATAGCACAGTGCTCAGCACACAGGAAGTACCCGGCACACAGGAAGTACCCGGCACACAGGAAGTACCTAATAAGTGGTGACATTCTAAGGGTTCCCACTTAGCTGCGACTGCTCTCCATTGGCCCTCATCCCTGACTGCCTCCCTCACACTGTCCTGGAGGCTCTGACTGTGGAGGACTCCCAGGTGTGGGGCACTTTCTGAGTGGTGCATCCAGAAGATACGCCCAGCTGACCACGGCTCTGCCCCACCCTGGCATTTTCCACACAGCTGTCCCTTCCTCTTCTGGTGCCCAGCTGTTGCGGCCCTAAGCTCGGCCATGGTGTGGAACCTCCCTCAAGGCCAGGCCTGCCTGCCTTTGTCTGATGTCCCCACAGGGCATCCTGTGTCAGCTGAGGAGTACCTCCACCAAGGAACAGTTCCAGGACCTCATCTTCTGCATCTCAGCCACCAACCCAGGGCAAATGAAAAACAACTCCTAGTAGACAAAGCCGTGAAGACCCCATCCTGCTGGCCGCTGGAAAGGGCGGCTGCTCCAGAGGGCTGCACAGCTGTGTCCTCTCCTTCAATGCCACCTTCTGACGTGGCTCTCCTGGCCCTCCTGACAAACTGCAGCTGTCCCCACCCAGGCCCCTCTCTGTTTAATTTTCTCCAGAGCTCTCCCCACCCACCACCTTAACAGTAACATGTTCTGCTGTCTTGCTTTTGTTTTTTATTGGTGTCCTGGCCTGTGGCAGGAGACAGGCCTGGCTGGGCAGGACTTCCTGTCAGGTACCTCTTGCCCCACCCCCATGCCAGGCACATCCCCATGCCAGGGACACCTTTCAGCACTCACTGTGAGCCGTCTACCTGCCAAGCACTCAACAGATACTGACACACGCTCCGCAATCCAGAGGGCAGCACTACCACGAGGCTCACTTTACAGGTGGGGAAACTGAGGCACTGGGCTGGCAGGTATGTAGCTTGTTTGAGATCACATGGTTAGGGAGTGGCCATCTGGAGCTCAGGTTCCGAAGCACATGAGTACGCATCTCTCTCCAGAGTGCTAAGTGCATATCTGCTGAATTGAGTGAGTGGGTGACGTGCCACATTAGTCCAGCAGTGACTGAGTGTGGGAGTGTTTGCTATGTGAGTCCAGGAATGAAGGAATGAGTGAATAAAAGGGGGCGCTGTAATTGGGTAGTGAGTGAAGGGGTGAACGCATGCAGGTGAGACGGGCCGGGAATCCCTTGACCCACCGAGATACAGCAGGGTTTATCAGCTCCTCCCGCTGACCTTGGGCGCAGCAGTCCTCTGATGCGGAGGGCCATCCCTGCCCTGTGAGATGTTGAGCAGTTCCCCGGCCTCCACCCACTGGCCACCAGTTGTGACAGTCCAAACCATCCCCAGACTCTGTCCAGGGTCCCCTTAGGAGCCCAGCTGGAGAACCGCTGCACCATGAGGGGGGCGATGCCGCTCTCACCTGTACTCCTCCACAGAGGATACCTCTTCGGCCACCCGCAGGGGGCTCAGGGGCACCCCCTGCCAGAAGGCAAGCCCCTGCAGATGCTGGGCCACTGCCTCTGCCTGACGCCGAGCTCCCCGGGCAGCAGCCACCAGCTCTGTGCGTGCTGCCAGCACCTCCTCCAGGGTGGTCAGCTCCACGCGCACCGCCTCGCCCAGCCCTTCCACCGTCTCCAGCACCTGGGAAGGGCAGCGTTTCAGGTCTGGGGTGGGCGTCTCCGGGATGGCTTTGGGTAAAGCAGGCCGAGCTATGGTAGAAGGTGTCTGAGCACCCGAGGACTGCGGAGGGTCCCCTGGGACTCTGAGGTCCTGCCATGGGGTCCTGTGGCTCCGTCAGGTCTCAGGGTGAGGGTCCCAGCCCCACGCAGGGTCTAGGACTGGGGTCTTAGGTGTGAACTATGCATCTGCCTTCCCGTGTCTGGGGTCTCACATCTGGGTCCCCTGGCCCAGCACCTGGGCACGCAGTGCAACTGGACTGAAACTTCGGGCTGGTGGTGCGGCCGCTTCTCAGGCGCGACCTGGAACCCCGGGTCATGGATCTCAGGACGGGGGTCCCTGAGCTTGCGTTTGGGCCAAGGGTCAGGTCTGCAGCAGCCCCAGGTCTGGCCTGAGGACAGGGACTGTGGTCCCCATGTTTGTCTCTGCTTTGGGCTCTGGGTTGAAGTCCAGGCCTAGGACCGGATCTGAGTCTGGGTCTGGGTCTGAGCCAGTTCGAGGGCTGGTGCGGGGTGCTGAGGGCTGGGCACTGCCCGAAGGCTGCACATCTGATTGTGTACTTCTGAGTCTGGGGTCTTCTCAGTTCTGATTGGACCCCTTTGTCCTAGAGTGTAGGCCCCGCATGTCCAGGTATGGGTCAGGGGTCTGGCTGGCGGCTGCCTCACCAGGTGGTCAATGGTGCTGAGCGTGTGGTTGGCGTGTAGCAATGCCAAGCTGAGCTGCGACACCCCATCACTGGTCTCGCTGTTGCCATAGAAACCAATGCCAATGCCAGCGCTGAGAAGAGAAGGACAGAGAGGAGATCTCAACCGGTCTGGGGGCCCAGGGGACCACCGTCCCCCACAGGCACCCCTCAGCCCGGCCTCCTCCTCTAGCTACCTCATCTTCAGCCCGTCCCATTGGTCCAGCCCACTGTGGGAAAAGGGTGTCTCCAGCTAACCCACCCAGCCCAGTTGCCAAGGTAACGGGAAAGGCCTCACCCCCAGCCAAGGGACGTCATTGTGATGCTAATGGTGGGTGGAGTGGTGGAGGGGCAGGGGCCCCCAGATTTAACTCAAGCCTCCCCAGAGCAGGGAGGAGCCCTGGAGGAGAAGACATCCTTCCTGGGATGACCTGCCCCACATCCTTAGCCTCATGTCCAGCATTCTCTGCGCCTGTCCTAGGAGCACTGAGACCCTTAGCACCTGCCCCTCCAGGGCTTGGGCATCCCTGAGCCTTCATCCCGGGGCTCCTTCTGGCCCAGAGATCCCAGCCACCTGTGTCTCTGGGAGCTCTCAGCCTCCCCAGCCCCGCCCAGTAGCCCCAGCGCCAGGCCGACTGGGAGAGGAGTATGAGAATGTGGGAGGGAGGGCAGGGGGTGGGCCAAGAGTGGGCGGGCGCCCCAACCCAGCCAACACACAGAGCTCCATTGTGGCGCCTGGACGTGGGGGCCCACACCCCTCCCCCAGCCTGTGTCCCGCTGCCAGGGGGGCGAGAGCCTGCTGCCCTCAGAGTTCCCAGCCTGGCTCCTCGGACCCCACCCCCTCCCTGGGATGGGCGCCCAGTGCCCCCAGCCCCATTGTTCAGAACCTGACAAAGCTCCCCTTGTTCTCAGGCCGTGGGGGCTGGGCTGGGTCTCTCGTCCACTGGGCCTTTGTCCACCTTGCCACCCACCGTACTCTGGAGAGCCAGATGGGGAGGTCCCCTGGATACAGGGCACCCAGCGCCCCAGGCACCTCCAACATGCACCCCTTCTCCCTGTGGCAGAGCCCAGGCTGGGGCGACCTGCTTCGGGCTCCAACCCTGGCTGGCCACAGGAGCCTCGGTGCAGGTTCCTCACTGGCTGGCCGTGGCCTGCAGGTCCAGGCCCTCAAGCCCCTAGTCCTCTACTCTGTGGCACTAGTGGTCCTGGCCCCGTGGGAGCCGCCTGCCGGGGTCATGGAGACTTCGAAAGGCCCTAGGTTTGGAGGTTGTCTGAACCTCCACTCTGCCTCCTGAGCCTGCGATCTTGAGCGTTTGCCTCCTCTATCTCTCTGAGCCTTTGTCTTTCAAACTGGGTGTGACACTGAGGTCCAGCAGGTCCAGGGGGAAGGAAGGCCCCAACCAGACTGGTGCTGGGCAGAGCGGAGCTCCTGGTCACGAACACCCGTGTGCGCTCTGCCTCTCTGACTGGAACGCAGACCTTGGGTGCAGAGCTCCTAGGCCGCCGGTCGGCGTCAGCCACAGGGATTCAGAGTCACTGAAGGATGAATGAGTGGGGGCTTTCGCTAATTATCACTGACGGAGGACAGCTGAGAGCCTGGCTCAGCGCTCGCCTAGCCTCGCTTTGCCCGCAGCTGCGTCGCACCCCGAAGCCCACTTTAAGCTGTGGAAGTCGTGGCCTGGAGGGGTACACCACTGCCCCGGCTGGCACAGCTACTCGAGGGCTGCCCAGTGCCACACTGCTGAGCCTACCCCTCCCCTCGGGAGGGCCATTTCTCCTTGGGACCTCAGGGCTTCCAGACACCAAGGGGCACAGCTCTCCCTGCGGAGGGTGGGTGGGATTCTCCTAACTGTCCGTGGCCCACACCCCAGGGCGCCAGCGGGAAGAGCCAGAGCAGCAGAGAGCAAGTGTGCAGAGCCTGCCCACGCCGCGTCACCCTGGGGCCCCGTTACCAGCCGACGAGGAGGGCAGCAATGCAGCTCCAGGTGACGCAGCCTCCCCCGGGTGGGGGGCTCTTGGCCCCAGGGGGCTCGGGGGGCCGGCAGCAGCAGAAGCGGATGAGGTAGACAGCGATAAAGATGAGGCTGAGGCCCAGGCCCAGGCCAGCCAAGGCCGCCACCAGCATCAGGGCCTGGGGAGGGGAGACACCAAGCCTCAGAGCGTCCCCGCGTGACCCTGGCAGGTGGTGCCCAACTCACCCTGCTGGCATCCAGGTTTGTGGGGAAAGACGGGGTCCCCAGTCCCTCCCAAGCTGGCATCTGGGGCTCAGGATTTAGGGCTAGGCTGCCGGAGGGAGCTTCCAACGGGGACGCCACGCTGGCCTCTTGCGGCTGTGTGTCCTTCCCTCTCTGAGCCTCCCCCGTGTCCTCACTGCAGCGAGGCTGTGGGAATGGAGTGTCTCCGGGACCTGCTGAGGCTCCCGGAACTGTGTGGGATCTGAGTGGCGGCACCCAGCCCCGTGCGGGGGCGGTGGGGCGGCTTCCTCACCCCTCTCCTGCTCCGCGTCCATGCTCACTGTCTCCCCGCTGCTGAGCACGCAACCCACTGCCACATGAGTCTGTCACCAGGGGCGGGGGACTGGGACACGGGATGGTGTGCTCTGTGACAGCCAGCGTGTGCGTGTGCGTGTGCGTGAGCTCAGAGGTGGGGCGGGAGGGTGAAGATGGGGGCGGATGTGCTCAGAGAGAGGGGAGGAAGACACAGGCAGCAAGGCAGGGCCGGGAAAAGAGGCAAAGCAGAGAGAGAGAAGAGGGGAGCGGGTAGTGGGAGGGGAGGGGCGGGGCGGGGAGAACGGATGAGTGCGGAGGGCACAGCCTCGCAGGCCCGGCTGGGCACACAGAGGCCCTGGCAGAAGGCGGCTTCTCCCAGGCCTGGGTAGCAGCAGCAAACCTGTGCTCCCATGCGGCCAGAGGCCCAGAGTGGGGTGGGTCCGCCTGGCGGCCTGGGCATCAGCTTCCAGCGGAGGCCCTGCTGTGCCGAGGGGGAGGGGCCCCTTCCCGTGTCTGCACCCCTCATCTTCAGGGTGCAAGTGTGTGCAGTGCGGGGTTTCCGTGAGATATGCTTTGCTGAGTTTGCTGCCAAGCAATGGGGGGGCCCTGAGTGTGAGTGTGAGCGCGAGGTGTGTCACGGCGTGGAGGCTGCAGGGCGGGACTGCGGTGGGCACGGCTCCCAGAAGGTGTGGGCGAGCCGCTGGCACGTGTGTGCTCGGGAGTCTGAGAATGAGCACACACGAGTGTGTGTGTACGTTGTGTCTCCATGGGTGTGCATGCAGATGAGTGTCAGAGTCAATACCTCTGTTTCCGTGTGAGCTTGTACATAGGTGAGTGTGGGACTACGGACAGTGTGTGTGCAGATGTAAACGGATGTGCATGTGTGTAAGCATGCGTGTGGCATGTGTGAGTTAGCATGTGTGTAAGCATGTAGGTGTGTGGGAGGAGTATGTTGAGTGTATATGTGCACACTTGGGTAAAGGCGTGTGTGTATAGATATGTGCACACGTGCTTGTGTATATGTGCACACGGGTGAGTGTGCATACGTATACACGGAAGTGTGCATGGGTATATGTCCACAGGGGAATGTGCGTGTGTATGCCGTGTGCACACAAGTGCGTACATGTGTACGCAAAAGTATATGTGCGTGCACTGAGTGTGCATGCGTGCACACGCGAGTGTGTATGTGTGTGCAGACGAGTGAGTGTGTTATGCGACTGTGTCCCGGCCGCCCTGACCCCGTGCGCGCCGCGGGGCCCGTGTCGGGGCTGTGGCCGTGCGTGTGCACGGCGGCGGAGCGCACCTCGCTGCCCGGGTGGTGAGTGGCGCCCGGACGAGCGAGCGCGTGAGCGGCCGCTGTGTTGTGTAAGCGCCGTGGGCAGGGTGGCGCGCGCGGAGAGGCGGAGGGGGCGGAGGAGGCGGGAGCCGCGGCCGTGACCCACATAGCGCGGTTGTCTGCTGCCTCGCGGAGCCCGCTTGAGCCGGGCCGGGCCGGGCCAGGGCGCCCAGCACTGATGGGGCAGAACCGAAGGCCGCCCTCCCGGCCCGGCCCCCGCCCCCGCCCCCGCCCGGCGTGAGCCTCCTAATCTCAAAGTCAAAGACTTGCGTTAAACTGGGTCAGGGGACAGCGCTCCCAGCTGGAGCTGCAGCTGGGCCCCCTCCCCGGGGCCCCACTTCCCGAGGTCCCCGCGGCGCCACCCAGGACGAGCCCCAGCTCCTCAGCCCCTGCCCCTCCCCACGGCGCCGACCACCCCTCCGTCCCAGGACGCCCAAGCCCCCTCTTCAGCCGGCCCGAGCCCCTTCCCCACTCCAGGTCCTGCGCCGCGTCCGGGACCGGGCGCCCCTCCCTCCTCTCCACCGGCGCCAGGTCCGCTCTCCCGGGCCCACCGTATCTGGGGCACGGTCGCCCGCTGCGTCCTATGGGGGCGGGGTCCTCTCGAGGGACCCCGAAGCAGCCCTTCCTGGGTGACCCTGGGACGGCTTCCCAGCGGGTCTCGGGCCCCCCGCGCGCCGCCAGCTAGGCCCCCTCCCTCCCCACGACTCGGGGTCCCGCACCCCGGCCCCCTTACCCAGGGGAGGGGTCTGAGCCCGCGCCGTCCCGGGGGCGCTCCAGGCGTGGGCACCCTGGCTCCTCTCCCCCAGTACCCCAATCCGCGCGCCTGCCCGAGACCGGGGACCCACCCGGGCGGCCCCGCCGTCTGAGCCGGCTCGGCTGCGCTCCCACCTGCTGGTATTCCTGCTCCTGGGGCGCGAAGCCGCTGGGCACCGGACGCAGCTGGAAGTCGGCGCGGGGCAGCTGGTGCAGGAGGTGCACCCAGGCCGAGGGCCGGTAGCCCGGGGGCGCCCCCATGGCCCCAGGAGGGCCGGCGGGCGACGCTGAGCCGCG